TTTTCTATATAACTCCCCCTTTGTCATTAGCAAAAAGAAATAAACATAATTCTAATTAAAAATTTCTTTTCTTGGGTACCTTAATAAAAATATCAAGCACTTTGGTACCCTTTTATATTATATCATTAGGATTAGCCCTTAGGAATCCAAATCCACTTGGAATTTGGTTTCCATTTGTTAACATAAGTGTAATTCTTTGAATTGCAAACTTCATAAATATAAGATGAAATATAATAATTCCTATCATGAATATTCAAATTCTTAGGAATCCATATATACTTATTTTGTTTAGCATGAATATTCTTATTATTATTCTTCAAAACATAATCATTCTTTATAAAATACTTAGGAACAAATCCAATGCCAAAATGATTGTTTGAAGATTTTTGAAATGAGAGCAAATTATTCAAATTCTCTTTACTTTTATTGAATTTACTAACATTCAAACATATATCATCATATTTTAATTTAATAGAAGAAATATCTTTATCTAAAACATTAATGCGGATTTTTAAATCATTGCATTCTGATTTTAGATAAACATTCTCATTAGTCAAAATATGATTTTCTTTAAGCAAGGATTTATTTTCCTCTTTCAATTCAATTACTTGAGAATTAGAAATAGTAGAAGAATTAAAATCAGAAATTTCTTCAAGTAATCTTTTATTTTCACCTTTAAGAAAATTATGTGAAGCCTTTAATCTCAAAAATGTTTCATATAATTCATTGAAAGCATCTAATAATTCTTCATTATTGCATACCTCATCTTCTTGTGCCATGAAGCACATGTGAGTGGATTCCTCTTTTTGTTCTTTCATTTTGAATAACTCAAACCTGTGCACAAGAACAGATATTTTAGATTCTTTAACTTTATTTGTACCTTCATGAGTTACCTCAAGTGTATGCCAAATATCGTATGCAGATGTGGCCGTTGACACCCTATTGAACTCATTCTTGTCAAGTGCACAAAATAATGCATTCATTGCTTTTGAATCCAAATTTGCATTATTTCTTTGAGAAGTAGTCCATTCTGCAAAAGGAGTTGTTGGCTTCTCATATTTTGTTTCCACGACGTTCCAAAGTTCGTAGCCAATTGATTGAAGGTAAATCTTCATTCTGCACTTCCAATAGTTGTAGTTCGAACCATCGAACATTGGAGGACGATTTGTAGAGTAACCTTCCTTGAATTGTGATGTATTTGACGATGCCATCTTTCACCTTGCTCTGATACCAAATGTAGGATCTGAAATAGATACACTAGAACACTAGAAGAGGGGTGAATAGTGTTCTTTTAAAATATATGCAAAGTAGATTATAAATTGCAAAGAAAAATGGCAATCTCAGAAATTCACAATCACAAACACAAAGTTTTATACTGGTTCCACCAACCCGGTGTACATCCAGTCCCCAAGCAAATCCCGCTTGAGATTTCCACTATGATTTTGAAACCTTACAAAATCAAAAGCAAACCTGACCAATTTGCAAGACCATGCAAATTGCAACACCAATTGACAAGACCATGCCAATTGCCACCCAATCTCTAAACCAAGAGATCAACCCTCTCAAACCCGAGAGAAATCCTTTTTGAAGCAAGAACACAATTGATCCTATAAGCCTTGAATGTGTAGTGAAGTGCTGCAGTGGCTTAGGATTCTTTTAACTCTCTGAATATTGTCTATACAATCTCTAAGAATGATTGAAACCAAGGCAATATCAGAAACTCTCTTTTTCTAAACACTTAGCATGAAAATCTGGAAAATTAGAGAGTGAATATGCACAAAATGTTTGATCTTGCAAGTGTAAAACTTAGTTGTTGTTTTCTGATGTTTAAACCTATTTATAGCCTCTGAAATGACATAATTTTAAACCCAATTAACGTCCACAAAACGGCTATAAACAGTCACTTATTTTAAAACTGAAATCTGGAAAAACTGCTTCTGTAGTCGACTACAAGTCATAGTAGTCGACTACACTGAGTCTAAACAGACTCTGTGAAGTCAGAAAATTGCTCAGTAGTCGACTACAAGGCATAGTAGTCGACTACACTGTAAACTCAGATTCTGGAATTTTTCTGTTTAGTATTTTGACTATAACGTTCTCATCCGATATCGGAATGAGGTGATTTAAGATTTGTTGGAAAGCTCTTGAAGAGACCTACAACTTTGGTCTTTTGAGTTTTTCCAGATTCTAATTTATAAGGGGTGTAAATAAAATGTTTTAAGACTCACTTAATATCTATAAACTCTAATGGCTAACATAGGGGATTTCTATTGTTAACCAACACACTAAGCATGTGTTAGTGTGTTCTAACACTATGTGTGTGCATGTGTGTGAGTGATCAAGGCTTGTACAAATTTCTAAGCAAAGAAAATATAAAATTACATTTTGACAATAAAGTATATCTTCTTCTTTGCTTCATTTTGCCTTGAACTCATCTATGTCTTGAGTATCTCTTTGAATATAATTGTTGATATAGCTCTGATACTGCAAAACAAATGTTAGCACATAATACACACAACATATAATATTTGTTATCATCAAAACAAACTAATCTTGGGGTCAAGATTCCTAACATTCTCCCCCTTTTTGATGATGACAAATATATGTTATTAAGATATAAAAATTTTAATCCCCCTGCATGAAATCATTAAATAAAATCTTTTACTCCCCCTGCATCAAAGCATTAAAATTTTCTATATAACTCCCCCTTTGTCATTAGCAAAAAGAAATAAACATAATTCTAATTAAAAATTTCTTTTCTTGGGTACCTTAATAAAAATATCAAGCACTTTGGTACCCTTTTATATTATATCATTAGGATTAGCCCTTAGGAATCCAAATCCACTTGGAATTTGGTTTCCATTTGTTAACATAAGTGTAATTCTTTGAATTGCAAACTTCATAAATATAAGATGAAATATAATAATTCCTATCATGAATATTCAAATTCTTAGGAATCCATATATACTTATTTTGTTTAGCATGAATATTCTTATTATTATTCTTCAAAACATAATCATTCTTTATAAAATACTTAGGAACAAATCCAATGCCAAAATGATTGTTTGAAGATTTTTGAAATGAGAGCAAATTATTCAAATTCTCTTTACTTTTATTGAATTTACTAACATTCAAACATATATCATCATATTTTAATTTAATAGAAGAAATATCTTGACACAATTCCCAACTTCCAATCCGTGCACTTTGTGCACGGGGAATTTTATCTCAACTCCTAAATAGAGATAAGCCTACGCCTAACACGCGTTGCCGGTTTAGTCTTTCACCGAGTGAAAAAAACACCAGAATACGAGTCTGGGGACGTTTTTCCCGTAAGAAATGGCGAAGTCTATGTATTCAAAATCATAGCACCAAGTCTAGGAGAATTAACTCTCTTAGCGCAACGTTACATGTGAAACGGGTTTTAATAATTCACATGCTAGCCCGATTCAAACGGTAATCGGTAAAGGCACATCAAATCCGTTGAAGGCTGGGGGTTTGCCAAAAATCTTAAGTCTCGGAACGGACTTAAACAATCCGCATGCAAGCCCGATTCAAACGGTAATCGGTAAAGGCACGTCAAATCCATTGAGGGCTGAGGATTTGCCAAAAATCCTAAGTCTACGTCTAATACACGTCGCTGTTTAGTCTTTTCACAGGAGAAAGACGAAGTCTACGTATTCAATATCGTAGCACTAAAAGAGTTAACTCTTTTAGCATAACGTTACATGCGGAACGGACTTAAACAATCCGCATGCTAGCCCGACTCAAACGGTAGTCGGTAAAGGCTCATCAAACCCGTTGAAGGCTGGGGGTTTGCCAAAAATCCCACAAGTATTATGGTTGATTATTCCATACGGAGTAAGACATCATAATAAATGAGACATAATGAATGAAAAAAAGACATATTTTCTATTAATAAAATTGAGTTTGCAGGTACAAGAGTTACAATCAATCTACATGAAGTTTGTGACTACAGGCTTGCTGTTCAAGTTTAGTCAATTCCTCTGTATAAGTTCGCTCAAGCTCACACTGCAATGCAACCTTGAAGGATTCCTCGGCGAGGGATAATGTTTTCGCAGTCTCTTGTTGGATCTTGGCTAACTTCTGTTTCGAGAGCTCCAATTTTCCGGATATCACAACTCGTGAACGCTCCAAGTCACCCTTCGCCATCCCCAAGATAGCCAAGGCCTCCATTTGATCCACCCGACTTTGTTGCGTTTGAATCTCAAGTCCAGCCGAAGCCCGAGTGTCGTGCCATGCTTGTAGACGAGATTCCATCCAAATGGCTGTGTACGTTGAGAAGGGTCCAGTTAAGCCTATACGACATCCTCGGCTCAAGTTAAAAGTCATAAAGACCAACCAAAGAACTCAGTCATGTATAAGTTCGAATTCAAGGCATATAAGGTTTTTGAGTCATGTATAAATTTGGATTCAAGGCATACACAAGTTGGGACTCAAGTTATTTCGACCACATACAAGGTTGGATTCAGTCGCATCGGGTTCAATCATGTATAAGTTCGAACTATGCAAGAGTATAATCATGTACAAGAATTCAAGCCCTACGAGTTCAATCATGTACAAGTTCGGACCATACAAGAGTGCGATCACATACAAGGATTCATTTATGCACGAATTCAGTTATATACAAAGCTCGAGTCATACACAAGCTCGAATTCAAATAATTCGGCCATGTACAAGTTTAGGCCCCACTCAAATACACATACAAGTTTGGGTCTAATCATCAACAATTAACCAAGAGTCAAAATTCGACCTCGACAAGGCACAAGTCCAAGAGCACCAACTCGAGAAATCAGTATTGCCACAATTTTTTAGCCATGAACAGTCCAAAGTTTCAGCCATCAATTTCAGGTTTTCCCCCAAAGTTCAAGAACTAAAGTTCAATTACCAAGCCTAAAGATCACAGACACAACAAAATTGAAACAGAAGCATTCGAGGTTCACCTGAACTCGAGAATAGCATGATCTGAATTGAGAAAACCCACCACTAAGCAAAACTCGAATCTGAGGCAAAGAGGGAGCTGAGATCCTGACAAGAAATCAGAGTGAAAACCAAGTCAAATCGAAGAGGGGTGGCCAAAATCAAGAACAGAAATATTAATTCTAACTTAAATTCGGAATTAGGGTTTCAAACCCCCTTTACAGTTGAGAACACAAGATGGAACTTAGCCAAAGCTGAGGATGATGCCTACCTGAATCAAAGTCGGCGAATTCGACGAGGAGAATCGCACCAAGCCGTCGAAAACCTAGCTCTTGACTTCGGTTGGAATAAAAGGATAGAGTGAAAACCGAGTCAAATTGAAAAGGGGTAACCAAGATCAAGAACATAAAGCTCAATTTGTACCTGAAATCGAAATCCAAGGCAGGAACTCCACCCGATGCTTAAGCTCGAACTCACGTTGGAAGAATCACAAACCCTAGGTTTTAATCTCCCTTTACTCGGATCCAAGTTGGAAGAAGAGGGGAAGGAATTAATGTGGAATTTAAAGGATTTGGGGAGTTCTGATCTTGGAGAAGTTCTTGGATGGCTAGAACTCAAGGAGAAAAGAAACCGAAATTTTAGAGAGAAGGGAAAGCCGGGACCGATGAAGAAGGAAGAAGAACAAAAGAGAGAATCGGATTTTTTTTTTAGCCCTCTCCGACCCGCGTTCCGCGGGTCGGATTTGTGTCCGACCCGCGTGCTCGCGGGTCGGATTAATCCGACCCGCGATCACGCGGGTCGGATTCATCTGACCCGCGTGAACGCGGGTCAGACCCAGTTCAAGGCCCGTTTTGCCGTATTTTCGTCCGTTTTCGTCTGTTTTTGAAATTTTCGAAGGTTAACCTCATCTCCCGGACAATTTCACGGCATTTTTGATCATATTTGGAATGTTCAGAGTTCGACCTCATTTCCCGGATAATTGAGCGGCATTTCCAGTCAGATTTAGAACGTTCAGAGTTCAATTCCGCCTCCCAAATAATTGCGAGATATTTTCGTCTATTTTCAGAATATTCGAGACCCAATTTTATATTTTGGGTGATTTCGTGATTTTTCACCTATTTTGGAATATTTGGGACCCAATTTTATATTTTGGGTGATTTCGCGATATTTTCGCCTATTATCGGAATATTCGAAATCCAAACCCCAATTGGCGACCATGAGTCTAAACTGTTCCCCATTTTGACAGGAAGTTCCTAGAGATTATTACAGATAATAATTCTTAAGGATAACCTGGCAAACTCCAACGGGTACATGAGTCTAAACTGTTTCCCATTTTGACAGGAAGTTCCTAGAGAATGTTACAGATAATAATTCTTAAGGATAACCTGGCAACCTCCGGCGGGTACACGAGGTTAAACTGATTCCCGAAACTCCCAGGAGTACATGAGTATAAACTGGTTCTCCTCAGGTTAACGCGAAACCCTAAGGTCAACGCCGGTCAACGCGTAGCCCTAGGTCAACGCCGGTCAACGCGTTGCGATGAAAGTCAACGCCGATCGATTCGAAACCCTAAGGTCAACGCCGGTCAATGCGTAGCCCTAGGTCAACGCCAGTCAACACGTTGCAATTGATTCAAAAGTCAACTCAATGACATATCAACAAAAAATCCACTCACCAATTCCGGTTCAAGGCTTCAATAACGGTCAGACGATAAACGCAGTACCGAGAAAATCTTAGCTATTCGACAAAATACAGAATACGCTAAAATATGGAGAAGTCAAGAATCGAAACCATCTGTAGGTCCTTTAACACCGACTGAAGGTGGGGATCCATCATATCCAAAGCGTTTCAGACTCCTCTATAAAAGAATGAGGCTGAAACACTTTGGAGGGGGTATCTGTAGGCGTCTAAAATTGTCTACGAGAGCCCGCACGAAACTCGAAGCAATGAATGGGCGAGTCAAGAAGATTCGTCAAACCAACTCGTGCGCGTCGGTCAAACGCGTGCACGTCAATCAACTCGTGCATGCCGGTCAACGCGCGTCAAATCATCTCGTGCGCGTCGGTCAACGCGCGCACGTCAACCAACTCATGCGCGCCAGTCAACGCGTGCACGTCAACCAACTCGTGTGCGCTGGTCAACGCGCGCACGTCAACCAACTCGTGCGCGCCGGTCAACGAGTGCACGTCAAATCACCTCGTGCGCGCCAGTCAATGCGCGCATGTCAATCAGCCCGCGCGCATCGATCAGTACGCGTATATTAACCAACGCGCGTTCGACGATCGGTCTCGCGACAAAGCATACAAATCAACAAATCTATCGAATACGCGACAAGAACAAATCCCGGAAGAAAGAAACCAAAAAAAGGGAAAAAGTCGGCGAACCCGCGCTAAGCGCAGGACGGAATGATCCGACCCGCGCAAGCGCGGGACGGATCAATCCGACCCGCGCAAGCGCGGGACGGATCAATCCGACCCGCGCAAGCGCGGGTCGGATATTTCCGACCCGCGCAAGCGCGGGTCGGATTATTCCGACCCGCGCAAGCGCGGGTCGGATTATTCCGACCCGCGCGAGCGCGGGTCAGATCGTTCTGCCGCGCAGACTAATGTCCCAAAACACGTTTTGACGGTTTTAAATTGGTTTTATTGTTCCAGGCGGTTCTAACTGACTTAATCATCCCCAAACAGTGGAGGCTGCTGCTTGAACTGAAGATAGCCAAATACTTGTTCACATCCAAATAACCGCATTCCCAGGCTATAAATATGAGCCAAAGCCTCCATTTTTGAGATCTGGAATTTTATCAAGAGGACGAAGTGCTGCTGGATTGGAGAGTGAAGGAGCACGAAATTTCAGCAAAGGACAGTGAGATCCCGGCGATCAAACTCTTCTTCGTCATCGGAATCCTCATCATCAGTAGATGCTTGGAAAGCAAGAACCTTCTTGTTCTTATCTTCATTATCCTTTTTCCGATCTTCAAGTTGCACCTCGTATGCCATCAAATTCCCTATCAAATTTTCTACTGTCAATGTGGAGAGGTCGTTGGCTTCCTCTATTGCGGTAGTCTTCTTTTCCCAATCCGAAGTAAGAGCCCGGAGGATTTTCCTAACCATCTCCACTTGTGTATAGTCCTTTCCTAACGCAATTAGGGAGTTGATGATGTCGGTGAACCTTGTGAACATTTCACCAATTGTCTCGTTGTCTTTCATCTTGAACATTTCAAACCTGTGCACTAAAACAGAAATTTTTGAGTCTTTAACCTTAGAAGTTCCTTCGTGGGTTACCTCAAGTGTGTGCCAGATTTGATGTGCAGTGTTGGAAGTAGACACGCGGTTGAATTCATTCTTATCCATTGCGCAAAACAATGCATTCATTGCCTTGGCGTCAAGATTCGCATTTGTCCTTTCCACCAATGTCCATTCAGAATATGGAGTAGTAGGCTTGTTGTAATCAGACTCCACTATGTTCCAGAGATCGAATCCTATCGATTGAAGGTAGATCTTCATCCTACACTTCCAGTAGTTGTAGTTGGAACCATCGAAAAGTGGTGGTCTTTGAGTAGAATGTCCTTCCTTGAACTGTGATGTAGATGATGTAGCCATTGTTATCCTTGATCAACCTGCTCTGATACCAATTGAAGGATCGCTGCAATGGCATTCAAACACTAGAAGGGGGGGTTGAATAGTGTTTATGAAATCTAATGCGGAAACTTTAAATTTCAATAAAATAATATCACAAAGAGTAAGAAAGATCAAACCAATGTGTAGACAATCACAGAAAATTGCATACGCAAACACAAGGATTTATACTGGTTCGGTCCTCCAGACCTACATCCAGTCCCCAAGCCTCGCTTGAGATTTCTCCACTATTTCCACTTGCAAAACCGCAAGCACTTGCAACCCGCAAGCAAACCGTACAACCTTGACAATCTTCAATTGCCAATGCCACAACAATCTCTTCTTTCAAGAGATTATCAAACTGAAACAAAATGGTACAACTTTCTCTTCCTATAAGCCTTGATGTGTAGATGTGAGTGACTTACAATAGGCTATAGGGATGGTTTTTGTTCTAGAGTAATGGAACTTTTATCAAGAACAAAACTGAAAATTTCACTCAGTTTTTCTCTTCAGAAATGATCTTAAGAAGTCAAGAAAAACTCAAGTTTATAGAAAGGAATTCTGATATGAAATTTCAGAACTTAACACCTATTTATAGGTATAATTTTAGTTCAAAAATATTCAAAAATAACTGCCAAAAATGTTCACAAAACGTTCATATTCATTTGAAAAATATAGCTGTTGGAAGCACTGTCTGGTCGACCAGATTGAGGCCTGGTCGACCAGACAGACTTCCTGGAACTTGTATGGTCGACCAAATTCAGTCCTGGTCGACCAGACAGGCTTCCTGTAAATTCTGTGGTCGAGAGTGGTCGACCAGGTCCATATCTGGTTGATCAGACAGAGATTTTTCTGAATCTCTGTTTCTGGTTCAGTTATATCTGGTCGACCAGACATTTCTTTGGTCGGCCAGAAACTATGTTATACATATTTTCAATAGTTTAAAATGTTATTCATTCGTTGATTAGACTTAGGATTATACTTAGAATATTTTCTATGATCTTCTAAGTGAGTAGTGTGTGTTGTGTGTGTGATCAAGGCTTGTACAAAGATTCTAAAAGAAAAGACAAAATTACATCACTCTTGTAAAGTATATTTTCTTCTTGAAGCGCGAAGTGACTTGATTAACTTCATCTTTTTGATCTTTGAAATCTTTTCTTTGATATAGCCTTAATATCTTGATTGTTGCTTTGAGATGTATATCTTGAATCTGCAGTAAAATATGTTAGATAAACAATTATTTGTTATCATCAAAATACAAGAGATATTGTAACATCAACCATGTTCCCAACAAGCACCAGTACAGCCCGTCACGGTCCACAGCCATGCCCGGAGACCGTCCACCAAACCGCCATGAGTCCGAAGCTGCTGACGCGGATTCCCGACATAAAGCTGATCATAACCAAACTGGTGGGCGAATCGGCAGGGTAGATATGGCTCTATAAAACACTGATTCCTCACCCGGAAGGTCAGATAACCCGGTCTAATGTTCACTAGCCAATTAAAGCAGCCGATATCTAAATATGTTCGATACTCCTTCGGCCTCTCCTCATCAATCAAACACTCACCATATTGGCTCGAGAACTGTGGGAAGCAAGTGGAAAATACCCAACACTTGTGAACCTGTAGCTGCTTCCTGATGTTAAGGAATCCTCACCCCTCCCACCTGCCATTCTCAAACAACTCCAGTAGGGGAACAGAGTGGTCTACGGTACTAGGTACCGACATCACATAAGGACGATGAAGGACGAACCAAGCCATCAAATAGGTGTATGGGAGCTCCACCTTGGAAAGAGGAATCTTAGCCGACGGTGCATCTTCTTTCTGTGTGAAGGTACTAGAAATCTGTCAAAGCCCTCGATGAATGTTAGCTACCATCACCGGAAGAAGCAAAAGTTCCTTCTTATAGGCAAGCTGAACCACTAGGTAGAGCACTTCCAATGGCGGACTGATACGGGACCACGTATTTCTTTAACCAGATAGCGAGGTAACCGGCGAGAAGGGTCATCGGCTGAATCGATGCGGTCGCATGCCATAAGAATGATTTAAATTTGGTCCCTGC